GATAAGAGTAGGCTTTGGCCGCCATCCGGGCAAAATTCAAAATTCCCCACCTACTGAAAATGGTGCTCATATGACCTATTGAAAAAAAAAAAAAGAAAACAACAAAAACTACCGCTCCATAATTCTGCTCCCCGTGAACATATCTGCATAAAAAGTTAAACATATTGTGTAAACATCAAACTGAGTAAAAATGAATGCTCCTCAACCCCCCTCCCCCCTCGAAAAAGCAAAAAAAACACCCCAACAACAACAAAAAGAAAAACACCTCCTCCCCTCAAAACAAAACAAAAGGAAAAACCCTACAACCACCACCACCACCAATAACATCAACAACAATATTCAGTTCCATTATAGATCAGACGGATTTGATGACGTTGAATTTCTTGAATGTCTGTAATCAACCAAGCGTGATGCCTCTCGTGTTAGCCGAACTGGCATGCCATGTACTATGATAACATTACAAGTTTACTAACCCTCGTCATGGGGTTTCTGTGGCACCCAAACAAGCCCTACAAGCATAATGACAAGGAAAACCAATACGTTGAGGCCTATGACCAAGCCACATGTCCACAGCTCTCCGCTATCCAGCCCGTAAATCTTCATGGCCTGAGCTCCGTTCCTCACACAGGAGACGGCAGCACCTTCATCGCACTCGAACTATGGACAATCGAGAAGGTTTATTGTTAGTGTCATTTCATAAGCGCGTAAGTCAGTCATGCTTTGAAGTTTTCAGAAAAATTGATTTAAAATAGAAAAACGAGCCCAATATAAATTAAACACCCCCTCCCCTTAAAAACAACAAACCCATTCCAGACAACAACAACAACAAACCAAACAAATAAACCAAGGCCCCTGGATAAAATTCATGTGTTGTGACTCACAGTTTTTCTGTAGAAACTGGAGAGACAATAAGGAAGAAGAACGGAAAATAATGTGTATAGTAAGGTACACTTGACATCATTTTGCGAATAATGGATTAATCTGGAAGGAAACCCCCAATAAACGAACTTAGGCGTTTGTGGATAACGCTGACGTTATGTTGTTTGAGGGTTATCATCTCACCATCACAGCCCAGGTCGTTTGTGAGGGATTGAAAGAAAGTTCCCCCCCCCTCTCTCTCTCTCTCTCT